ACAACAATGGAGGTCGTAAAAAAAAAAAAAAAAAGTGCGGGAGGCGTCGCTTTAACTCCGCGCGACTCGGCTAACCGGCCAGAGCGCCATTAAGATGGAGCTGAACAAGACCAAAGGAACAAAAGCAAGCACCTTGCTCATTTTTTATCGATATCGTGACAGTAAGTTAAAAATGCTTTCGGCAATGAGGCTATTTGGCTAATGCTCTATTTCCAGTTTAAACTATGAATACTGGCACTTGCTGTATAAAAAAGAAATTGAATAATATGTAATAACACTATCCCCACTATTCGCAGCAGAGTAGCGGGCATTTACTGTATCATCTTAATATTTGGAGACAGTTTAAACTATGAATACTTGGCACTTGCTGTGTGAAAAAAATTGAAAGCGTTAATAACACTATCCCCACTATTCGCAGCAGAATAGCGGGCATTTACTGTATCATCTTAATATTTGGAGCTCTCACAGGGGATCTCATTAGTCTGTTTTTGTGCGTTCTTAATGAAGTGGCCCCGTAAATGCACATCCGAAAGCACATCCGTGCAATTATGCCCCATTGCCAGTGCTCTCAATTTATGTGCCTCCATTATGGTGACATGTCTCCTCATTACAGCAGCAAAAGGGCCCGTGGTGGATTGGTCTAAAAATACCTGCTTAAAGCCTGCCTTTCACCTTCATTCGTTCTTACAAGGAAGGCGTCCACAAGAGTGGAGTGGCAACACGAAGATGATTCCTTTATTTAGCAGCCAAGTGTGGGAGGCCGGACTGGTTCAGAATTTTGTTCACGTCGATGTTAAAATAATGATTCCTTTGCCGTGGGGGTCACAGACACCCCCATGGAATTTATTTTTTTGCGAATTCTTTGCTTGCTTTTCTCCTTTTTTTTGCATTCCACTGATTGTCAAAGTGTCATTGAAGGTCTCAGTAATTTACGTTTATCAGAGGTGGTCTTTGAACGTCTCTTGATTTGACTCGAACAGAGGGATGGGGGGAGGGGCAAGGTGCGGAAGAGAAACGTTTTTTCGAGGAGGTTGGAAAATATCTGCTTAAAAGACAACACTTGGGCTCTTTCTGTGTCTCGGAGCTGCTGCACAAGACATTAAATCAAAACGCTTGTTTTATTCTTCTAGAAAAAGCAGCCAGTCAACGATGAAGCGGCTCTTCCCGAAACCACGCAGGTCAGTCACGCAATCATCGTCGCAGGCGCACCTGCTTATGATGTGAATGAAAGGCGACGGGCTGATGGGAATCCGGTTGCCGCTGCAATGTTATCGTCGGTTGGCAGCCTCGAATAGCCAGCGAGGGCTTCTTACTGAGGATCTGCTTACACTTGATTTGGAGGAGGCAGCTGCGATGTCCGCCAAGAGGCCAAATTCACCGTCCACGTGACATACCGGACGTCTCCTTTCACAAGCAGATCCCGGAAGTGATTTCCAAGTTGCTCAAATTACAAACTCAAATGCCAGGGCATTGAGCAACTTTGAAGAGCTAAAACACATATAAATGAGGCTTTTATAAGTGTATTGAAAAAAAAAAGATCCTGAAAAAAATGCGATAAATTAAAAAAAACAACAAAAAAACTACCGGTAGGCGAATAGGTGTCAAACCGTGAGTATGCGGCCGTTCTTTTTCTTTTTTTTTAATGCTGACTTGCAAACGAGGATAAAGAGGAATAAACCACGGGATAGCGAAATGCATCTATCATATCTGAGGCTTACTTGTACCAAACAAACCAAACGTTGATGCTAGGTTTGTTAGCCCGTCTCAGGTGTTTTCCATTGTGTTTAGCATGAAGCTAATGCTTCGTATTCCAGTAAACTTCACGGTAGGGGCAAAAAACACCTTGAAGCGGGCAATGGTTCATAAGTCGAAAAACTTGTAGGTTGGAGTGCTTGTAAGTCAAGGTGCCACGCTACAGAAAATGAATTAATTACCCTCAACCTAACCACGCAGAAAAAAAGAGGTTTGTAATTGCTTGTATTTTCGTTTAAAGACAAAAATCAAATAATCTTTGTTGCCCAAACACTTGTATATAATAATAAATAGATTGCCCAGAGATTATTTGATTAAAAAAAATGCAATCAACAATGACTACTTTCCTATTGAGGTTTTATTATGTTTTTGACTCAGGGGTATGCGGATACTGTACTCTTAATTTGTGGTTTCCAAGCAGTTATGAGCAGTGTGGGGTTTACAAGGGGGGTCGTCTGGGGCCGCTCTCAAACCACCACGGATCCAGACATTTAAGTCTCATTCTGACTCGCTTCTTTTCATAAAGTGTGTAAGTCATGGAATTGAACAAACCAAATCATGCAGTAGTGACAGCGACCAGCGGTGTCATTTCTAATTACTTTCTGGTATTTTTTCCATTTACAATCCCAAAAGGTCAGACTGTGCTCAAGTTTCAAAAAAAAAGAAGAAGAAGAAGAAGCAACAAATGTGGCCTTGTGTTTGCATGCAGAAAGACGTCCAGACGCGTTGGAAGCACGTCATTGCCGAGACCGGCTGCGATAAATCACCTTGAGCCAGGCGACAACAGCAGCGGCAAGCTGGCGTCGTCTGGCTGGACCTTCAACAAGACCCTCTCCAAACTCATCAGGTAGCCTCCTCACTGTCACTTTCGCTTTATTTTCTTTGCACCATACGGCGGTACCTTGACCTGAGTTTCGTATGTCCGTTGGCCAAACTCGAATCACACATATCTCGAATCATCTTTCCTCACTGCAATGAGCGGAATTGCCGTTCATCCATTCAAGCACCCAAACGTCAAATTGGAATCAGAAGTGGAGTTGTAAACTTCACTGCTGCCATCTCACAGATGGAAGTCAAATCATTGCTAATAAAATAAGCCCCAGCTCCCCAAAAAATAAAAATCCACCACGCGACGACTGGTATCGTTTTGAGGCATTTGTCTTTTTTTTTTCGCCCTCCCGCAGGAAGAACGTGCTAAGATTCCTGGACCCTGAGCGAGACATCTCCATCCTGAAGGGCTCGCTGAGACCCGGAGACGTGGTCCACTATGTTTTTGACCGCCACAGCACCACCAACATCTCAGAGAATCTCCACCGCCTTCTGCCAAGCGTGTCGCCCCTGAAGAACCGCCACTACCGGCTGTGCGCCATCGTCGGCAACTCGGGGATCCTGCTCAACAGCAGCTGCGGCTCCCAGATCGACTCCCACGACTTTGTCATCAGGTATCGCTTCAACTCGGGCCAGAACTCGTTTTGTGCTTTTTCTTCCGCCACAAAATCAACTCACTCCAAACTGTAGTATTATGGAGGTACTACTATGTTTGTCCTGCAGATCATTCCAAGTTGCAAGAAAAAAAAAGGGCCGAGTCACTTTAGAGTGCCATTTCAGAAGCGCACCGAAGACATGTCTGCCATCTAGTGGTGTTTGGTGATATTGAAACTTAAAACTACACTCAAACCCACGCATTGGCACAGTTTGACACCACCAGATTTGCATATTGCAGATTATTTTCGATTTTTTAATACTTTTTGGTCCTATTTGAGATCCCCCCCCCCATTTCCCCCCTATTTTTGTGTAAAATGAATGTTTCAACGTGCTTTTTGAAGAATTATTGGAGAAAAAGAAATTGGGCCCCTCAGAGTCCTGGCTTCGGGCCACATGCATCCTTCGCTGCTTTAGAGGCCAATTTCTTTGCAGCAAACTTTGTTTGGACTCCAAGTTGAAGAACTTTTGGAGTGTTTGATGTCGGAGGTTCCGCCGCATTGGCGTCGAGCGCAGAAGTTTCCACTCGGGCTCGCTTGTGAGGCCACGTGCAATTTAAAGTGGGCCGTAATGAAAATGGAAAAGCAAATTGGCTTTCGCTTTGTCTCCTCCGAATTGAATTGGCGTTGGGAAGTGAGGCCCGTGTCTCACTTTTAATTCAGGTTTGGAGTGGTTTCTCCCCGGGAACTTTGAAAGAGGCTGCTGAAGCTTTTTTTTTTTCTCCATTCAATTCAAAGCCACCATAATCAGACGGGGCGCAATTAACAGCACAGTTATATGTAAGATTGGCTTTTTTTTTTTTTTTTTTTTTTTTTTTTTGGCGCGCGCCCCAGATGAAGCCGGGCACTCTCGGGGGTCCCGTTCTCATTTACTTGCGACTTGCGTGTGTACGTGAATCCGTCAGCCGCCTCGGATTACGGCTTGGCTTTCACCGCGGGAATGGCAGATTGCGCCATTTTTTTTCCCCTGTCGATGGAGGGCCATAAATCTGTCTGCGGTGCTCATGCGATGGCAGACGCCAACAACAAGTGTCCCGCTTGCTATTCCGGGCCCACCCCCACTCAAGGTGACAGCATGGGCAACACCTGGCGTGAAGACAGCGGGACGTCAGCACTCCCGACCAGCTGACGGATGGCATGCCGGAGAAGGGCCGCGACCTTTTGATTAGCTTTTGCTTTTCCTTGATTTCTTTTCGTCTCCGTCCACTGTACGCTGTCTTTGCTCTTGTCTCCGGCATGCTGATGAGTCAAGGTCATGACTCGCCGACACGCCGGGCATAATAATGACGGTTGGCTTGGCTGAGAGCAAACAAAAGAGAGGAGGTTTTTCTCGAGCGAGCCCGAGAATTGTCTCGGCTCGGCGTGCGCGTCAGGCGGCCGGATCCATGTCGGCTGAGCGTGTAGAGCGCAGGTGTCAAACTCAAGGCCCGGGGGCCAGAGAGATCTGGCCCGCCACTTCACTCTATGTGGCCCCGCCAAAGCAAATGATGGGCATCAAACGTCATGTTTCTTGCTCAATACCAATAATGCAAATGGTCTTCACTTTTAAAAATGTTGAGATAGAGCAAGAATTTCTTTGCTTCCAAATCCCTCTTTTAAAATCAATTTAACTTTAGAAAACATTTTCAAACGAATTTAACATGATTACTGGTCCCCGATTTCAAAACTAGTCTTTCATAGATATGTTGCGTGTTAGTAATCGGAGACAAACCAAACGTTTATTTGACTTCACACTGTGAACTTCAGTCAGAATGGCCCTCCACCGCGCACCGCAGCGAGCTGCTTGGCGATCACGCGACTGAATGAGGACAGCGGAGGAAGCGAGTACGCTTGTCCATCTCGACTTTGCTTTGCTTCGTTTGAAGGTGCAACCTGGCACCGGTGGAGGAATACGCTGACGACGTGGGCCATCGCACCGACTTGGTGACCATGAACCCTTCGGTGGTGCAGCGAGCTTTCCGGGATCTGGTGGACGACGAGTGGCGGCGGCGCTTCGCGCGGCGCCTCGCGAGCCTGAGCGGCAGCGTGCTGTGGATCCCGGCCTTCATGGCCAAAGGCGGGGAAGAACGCGTGGAGTGGGCCCTGCGCCTCATCCTGCGGCACGCGGCCGACGTGCGCACCGCCTTCCCCTCGCTGCGCCTGCTGCATGCCGTCAGAGGGTAAGGCGCTACTCGTCACCGAACCAAGTGGGGGCGGCGGACGGCAAGCTGCTGCCCGAGAACTTGTTTGGAATTTTGATCACCCGAGGAAAACGATACAATGCGGCTACCCCATTCTGATTTTGGCGATTTTTATGATTATTTTTTTCTTTCCCAAAATGTATTTCACTGAACCCGGGCGAGCTTGATTAAACCAAATAGGATCATTAAACATCAACACGGTGCAGCTAGCATATGGTTGGCATCGCAGGAAATCCTCCCGCCTACCGAATGGTCAATTTTCAGGAGACTCGCGAGAATGTTTGTTCAGCCGTCAACGTCGCATCGTCAAAGAGAACAAGCCACGCTTTGGTCAATAATTGGGAAAAAAACGACACCCGCATGTGTGGACTGACCATCATGTTTTGTTTCACTTTACAGGGACTTTGAATGGTCGAAACAAAAAAAAAAAAAAAACACGACACCAAGAACACGTACTTTTTTTTTAAAGGCATTTTTAGCTTCTGCAAATAAATCCTCATGAATCTCACGGCACGCCAGCAAACGAAAATGGCGCTCGACAACACGACAACTTTTATGGAACTTTGCTAGCGCTTCATTTTGGTGTCATGGGGCCATAAAACTTTGTTCCGGAACTTTTGGACTCATCTCTGAAGTTATTGCAAGCAAGGCTTATTTATGCCAGCAAATATGAACTATTATTCACTTGAAGTTCATTTTATCATGTCTGCTGCAGGACTTTTCCTCACTTGAAAAGTGGGCGGCTTCAAACAAAAGGTCCTCTGTCCTCTGTTGCGCAACACATCTGGATAGAAATGCTATGAAATTGAATTCTCAAGTCTTGTCTCATGTTCATCTTTTGACCAGAAAACCAAATGCCTTCAGCATACACCAAAAACACAGGAATTGACCTGGCCATTCCAATACTTTTTGAGGGGACTGTCTGCATTCACGGCATTCAGATTTTGAGATGCTCTGTGTCGGCTAATTAAAAAAAAAAACAACAACAACAACCAAAACAGTGAGCTTAGTTGGTGCCGTTAATAAGCTGCTGTCTTTATTTCTAGCTACTGGCTGACCAACAAGGTCCACATCAAGCGTCCGACCACAGGGCTCCTCATGTACACCATGGCGACGCGCTTCTGCGAGGAGATCCACCTCTACGGCTTCTGGCCCTTCTCACACGACGCGGCGGGCAAAGCGGTCAAGTACCACTACTACGACACTCTCAAATACGAGTACACCTCCAGCTCCAGCCCGCACAGCATGCCTCTGGAGTTTAGGACGCTGAGGGCTTTGCACCACCAGGGGGCGCTGCGGCTTCACACTGGCAATTGCCATGCGCAGCCAGAGTTGCCGAAGGAGAGCAGAAACAACTAGCTCATGGAAGATTACCATGGAAATACTTTCTAGTCTGACCATGTAGGCTTCTCTCACGGCAGCACCTTTTTTTAGGTTTGTTTTTGTTTTATATGTGTGTATACAACTTATTTGAGGTTAAATTGACATAGACGTTTTGACTGGGACAATAGAACAAGGATATAAGAAGACACATCCCAACACGTGATGCTTCTCAAACTTAAAAAGTAGCACCACCTTGACCAGGATTCAGTCGCCTCCCTTATCATCAAAAATGAGGCCGGTTCAATTCCTATAAATTCAAATATTATAAGCCACAGTAACTTTATGCACAAGGAGCTCCGGTTAAATATAGGGAAATTAAGTATTTAATTAAAATACACAAGTTCAATCAAAATTATACCTAAATGCGTCTTTATAAATATGCAGTTCTTAAAGATTATAATTACAAACGGACTGCCCTTGGGCTGTGATGTTTTTTTCCTTTACCGCTAGAGGGAGCCCGCGTACCACTAGTGAGACTCACTCAATTCCTTGCACAGAAGTCCAGGCGGTCCTTGGTTTACGACACTGTTCGATTCCTCCAGCGGTGAAATAACACAAATGTGGAAACGGATTGTAGCACGAGTCATAACTGGCAATTATTTGTGTAAAAACATTCCCCGGGTCAAAATATGAAACAAACGAAAACCGTAAGTACAGGGTAACTGAGCGCACCTTCTTGTGCCTCGTGAACGTGTCGTCTTACACGGCTGCATTCGCTTCATTGCCTCGTATGTCGGGACTGTCGTGAAGTGAGCAGCCCGCGAAGCAGTGCCTTGAGATAAGAGTTTAAATTCTTGTTTGCGCACCTCAAAATATTCATCGATCATATCTGCCCCCATTTAAATGAATGGAATGTGATTTACCCAATCGAAACCCCCACCCGACCCATTTTTTTTAAAACAATTAGCACTCTAAAATACAGACCTTCTTAAAAACATACTGTATTATAATTAAACTGAATGTAAAAAAAAAAAACATTGTTTTTGCTACATTTTTTACTCCACTTCAATGGACATTGTGCTTCTCCTCCTGATATGCACACCTTGGCCACCTGGGGGCAATATAATTCAGATAAGACAGTAAAATCAGCACAGTAAGCCACAGTAATCTAAGTTTTTTTGGGGGGAGAGAATAAATTTCCGTCAACATGCTTAAACAGTTTAGCCGGTTCGATTGAGTTTTGCATTGTTTGTTCGTCGTCGTGTAACAAACGATTTGAATTGGAAAATCGTTTTTTTTTTCAAAATATACAAGTGGAACTGAATCATTCCAACTGAAAATATTTCACGTTATATGGAATATGGAATGGTCTTTTTTGGGCGAGAAGTAGCTTTGAAGGAAATGGCATGTTTACACTGCGGAGAGGTTCATACGTGTGTGTAAAATAACAAAACTCATTGCATCCGGTGAATCCAAACTCGTCAGTCAGGTCACTCGAATCTCAAGGCCCCGCTGTCTTCAGAACTAAGGGTGGAGAAGATGAGCGATGCAGACATTGATTGAAGTGATGAGTTTCCAACCATATTTCTCCTGCAGTTTACAGTTTGCCACCAGATGGCAGCACTAAAAGCAGAATAGAAATCTTGCAAGCGGTCCTTTCCACTGCCATCTCTGACTAAATGGTGAACTTTTCAAAACAGAGCCCTCCTTTCACAAATGTGCTGCATCACCCCGGGGAGCGGAATGAAGTATTTTCATTGAGCTTCCGCAATTAACAATGTCAGGGTGTGTCGCCGCTGTCCACACAGCCCGCGTTTGCTACAAGCAGGATATTAGAAGGAAGTCGGAATATTGAAACGTTATCACATTGACTTTATTCTCACGTCATCATTTCAGTGTGGGCCGAACACTTTTTTTTAAGCGATAAAAGGGGTTCCTGGTTAAAAGGTTCGATGTTTACCTTGCCTGCCTAAAACTTCCAAACAAACAAACAAAACAAAAAAAAGAATCTGAATGTGCAAATTAATGATGTAAACTTTTCTATGATTTCAAAATGAGCTTCCAAGCTTCTGTTATTTAACTAAAACACTTTTTTGTGTCAATACCATTTAGCTTTTTTTTTCTTTTCTAGAAGGCAACTCATGTTCAGGACAGAGAACCTTTATTCTTCCAGGGGCCGCATCAAATGATCAAAGAGGCCGTTCAGGTTCCCCTTCCGCTCACGTGGATCCTCAAGAGATCCAAAAGCGTGTGACGCGATTGTCGCGGCACAAACCACGAAGTTGAGATTAGACGTAAAAGTTGCGCGGCAGATGTTGGCGGTCTGGAGGAAATGACTGGCATTGTGGAAAACAGATTGAAGCTCATTTTCCTGACACTGACCGCCAGCCTCGCCTCGACGCCGTTTTCTCTTTCGCTTGGCGTGACGTCATTCCGGCCAACACGATGAACGTTTGCATGCTTTGCCTGAAGCTTCAATGGGGGATCTTTGACTACAGGACAGAGCCGTGTTCACTGACGACAACATGAATGTATTTTTGTCATGCGGGGTAAAAAAAAAACAATCCTAAAACGAGAGAAACTGGAAAAGGTGGTTTTATTTCACAAAAGGAAACAAAGGAGGCCACGTTTGCAAACCGTTCAGGGAAGCCGCTGCAAAATTGGCTCCACTTTTCAAATAGCTCACCCAGGTTAGCAGAAGATGCTGCTCAAATTAAATCCCAGATGCGATTCATCGCTTGAACTTTTTTTTAAGAGACAGCACAGTTGGCCAAAACCGCGTCACATTTGCTGTGATTTCAGATCGACGTTTGACTATGAGACAAGCCCCACCAGACGACATAAAATGTGTTTTCTGAACTTTGTCTGACATTCCACCCTGCAGCCTTGTTTGTATCGTCACAAATGGACAATCAGCGATGATGCATTTTCAGTTGAACAACGGTTGGTTTCACAAAGAACCAAACAGAGGAATCGAACACAAACTTTTTTGCACGAATGTGAATAATAGACAACAGAAGGTCACTTATTCAAATGATCTTGTTGGAGTGGTGCTTGATTATTTAGAATCTTTGCACTTGATATTATTTCAGAAAAGAAGCCGTGTTTCACATTGCTTAGATTTTTTATTTTTGGGTGGGGGGGGTTATTCCATTGATATTACTTTGAGAAATAATTTGGGGAAACGAATTCACTGAAGCGAAGCAAATATCGGATTCGAAGCGCATTGTCATGTTTGAAGCCTTTCCTTTGACTTGAACTCTGTCTGTATGCAGATTAAGAAAACGGATCGCTTGTGTCGTCGCATTGTGGCCTAAATTGTATTCTAACTTTTTAAACCCCCCCCACCCCCAAAAAATATATATAGAACATACAATAACCCAGTTGCCTCGATTCTAGATCATCACATTATTACTATGAATGGGATAACTGAAAAATCTACAGACATGAAGAAAACAAAAATCTTTGAAAGCACATTGGTCATTTTTTAAATTGAGATTGTGACAGGAAGTTAAAAATTACTTGGGCACTTATGCTCCAAGGGTCATAATATAACATATTAAATTAAACTTTACAGTCTGAATTATTAAGTAAAATCTTCCCCAATCCGTTGATGAAAAAAGGATGTCAATTGTGGAAGTGCTCCACAGTCTGCCACAAAAAAAAAACAAAAACAAAAAAAAAACGAGCCAACTACAGACGAGTGTTCTTCCAATCGGTAAGCTACGGCGGAATTAGCAGCAAATGAGTTCACACGTATCGTGACAAATGTAGCGGCTTCCCCTGATGTGCACTAAAGACGGCTTAGCAGACAGATTTGGGATGCAAGTTGAGTCAAAATAGCGTTGATGGTGCCGTGCGCTTTGACGCGTGGCTCTGGACCGCGGACGTGACGGAGTCCACGGCGCACGCGCACGGCAAATGCAGATCGACAACAACATCGTTCCTTCCGCGTGAAGTGATGTGAGACGATTCAACAAGTCGCCGGCCGGAGCCGTTGGGGGACAGAAAGACGAGACGCCGCGTAGGTTGATCCAAAAGCAAACGAGGTTGATGGAAACGTCAAGGCCTGACAAACTCACCTGTAAGAAAGCAGAAAAGGATCTCAATCGAGGCCCCGCGAAAAGCAAAGTGCAGGAAGGGCAGCCAAACAGGACGCCGGATCTTCCCTTGAGGAACGCGAAGGAACAATAGGACGGAAGGGGGGAAGCATGACGTCACCGTCGGATCTCCGTGGCTTTTTTTTCTTTTGTTTTACAAGCGTAGTTTGTCAGCGTGGACCTAAGAGAGCTTCACTTTTTTTCTGTTTGCTTCAAAACAGTCCACGAAGGGCACTTTTTGGAGCACAAAAGGCAAACGAGGTCGCGGTCTGACCGTCAAAATGAGGCAACTTGGCGCCGGACTTCAAAGTATCAAGGCTCAAAGCCGCTCTTCTGTGAAATTGGCTTCGGCTCTGGTGCGGAAGTTGGCCCCAATGATTTGTTGGGCCAGACTCCGTGTGGCGTTTGCATGTTTTCCCCGTGCCTGCACGGGTTTTCTCCGGGTACTCCGCTTTCCTCCCGCATTCCCAAAATGTGCACAGCAGGTTAATGGGACACTCGAAATAGTCGCGTGGTATGAGTGTGAATGGTGGTTAGTCTATGAGTGGCCTCCTGGCAATCGGCTCAGGGTGTCCCCCGCCCACTGCCAATATTTAATATACGCAAGATAGTACTCCGATCTGTATGCAAAGAAAAAAGAAAAGTGGCTTTTTCAACAGATGGCCTGATGTCGCGAAACTTCAGAGTTCCGTTTTCAAGGGCAAACCTGTAATTGACGTCAAACAAAGTGGAGTCGTCCTCGTCATCATTTTCGTCATTGAGGGGGGCCATCTCAACTCGCTCAGCGGGGGTCGTGATGATGTCATACTTTCGGGTTTTCCTGATTCTTCGCCCAGATCTGTCAAAAAAACAAAAAAACGAGTCATGATCACCGCATTAAAGACACTATTTTAAATGGTTTAACATTTTTGACTGACAGCAAATGAAATCATTATTTGATCCCCGCCCTGAATTTCTTATATCGAAGCAAAGGAAGACACCTTTGATGGTCCTTTCCCTGACTTTGGTGAGGAGATGAAGGACGTAAGGAAAACAAAGTTCAAAACAATCCACATGACAGATCAAATCATTCTCCTTTCACTGGACTGAGATGCAAATTCAAGTTTTTTTTTTTTTCTTCTCACAATTACCACAAACATGATATGGATGCAACCACCCATTCTGTGAGCCCCACACAACTGCAAGGCATCCGTGTTTGTAAACTGGCCCAAAACATGCGACGGCGTTTCAAAGGATTCATTTTAGAGCAGCAGCGCTTGACGAAAGAGGTTTTTCGACTCAGGCTCCGCAATTCCCAAACATCACATGAAGTCAACACAATCACATGCTCCCAATTGAGCCAAATGAGGCCTGACACAAACACAACTCTTCAGTCCCAGGTGTCAAATGAATCATTCTTTATAAATATTCTCCTAAACTACTTTGCGCTTGTTAGGATTAAAACTATGTGGAGAAACACAAATGTATTTCGATTTACATTCATGAGAGGAGATTTATCAGGCCAATTTGTCACCGTGAAGCGGAGAGTGACACATTTTATCACAGACGTAAGAAACAATATTAAAAATGTCGATTTACAGTATGTTCATATCGGTGTCCTTTGAATGCATTAAAACGATTCTCTGGTTAGATAAGAATTCTCTTAAAAGGATTTTGAGTGCGTGCACTTTCTCTAGCTCAGGAGATCAACTGTTCAAATTCTCACTCTTTCAAGATGAACATTAATATTCTAAATCTTTGCACTACAAGCATGGGAGGGCTGCCAAAGGAGTGAATGTCTCCCCCCCCCCCAATAATTCCTGAGACTGTCATTTTTTACTCTATGACCATTTAGTAATTTCAGAAAAAAGACAACACATGAACACCGTCTGGATATTTTCTCTCCTGGCTCTAAAGGAGGGCTTGATTTATACATAGGAAAGATGAGAAAATAACATACAATAATATATTTTAGAATATTACATTCGACGCTTGGGGGGTGGGGGGGGCAAATGGGGCTTCACAAATTTGAAAGACGCTTTTAATGTCTTCCCTTTGCTTTGACTTGAAATGTTTTGTTTATTCATGCCTTTAAAAATGTGTCCACTTTGTCTTTGAAATGTGGTGAACTGTTTTTTACATGTCGTGCTTTTAGACGTGTGAAGCACATTGAGTTGCCTTGTGAGTATGAAATGTGCTCGAGAAAGAAAGTTGGCAAACCATGGCGAAATCTGTCCCAATACTGTAGACCCAACTAGACCCAACGTGCCCCCCCGCCCCGCCCTCCCTACCTGACCACTTTGAAGAGCAGGCAGGTGATGAGAGCGCCGGTCACCACGCAGGTGAGAATGACGATGACTTTCAGCGTGGGCAGGTGCGTCATGATGGACGAGGTTGGCGAACCGACGCCCGCGTGGGTGTCGTTGTTGTGGTGGCCGCCGCCGCCGTCATCGTGTCGGAGGCTGACGGATCCCGAGGCCGCAGACGTCGCGTTCGTCGGCGAGACGGGAGAAAAAGACAGACTTCGGGGCTCGCCGTCGGCCCTCCAAAACGTCACCACGATCAAAGTAAGGGCGAAATAAAGGCTCGCCATTGAGCCGATACGCAAAACAAATGGCAGTTCCTTCCCCCAAAAAACGTCACGTACGCAACGACAGCTGTCACATTATTTGGACTGACGTCCCCCCCCCCCCTATTTTACACAATGAAGACACCTAGGGACACAAAATAGCATCTCGACTAGAATCCGGATTTCCAATAATTTAAATATTAATTTGCATTTGATCCTGAGAAGCGGTCGCTGGTTCCCTTGTGCCGGGTCGGAGGCAATACCTTTGTGGTCGTATTAGGAGATTGGGATTATCCACCTCCTCCGGAAACGCTCAATAGACCGGCCCTCTTATTCCAAATGTGTGACGTAGCAGTTCAGTGACCCCTTCAAGAGAGACTCGGAATTGCTATTATCCACGACTGACGTCACTGGTTTAATGTCAACGTCGGAACCAAAGATGAAATCTTTTTAAAGAAATGCAACCATTTCTGTCACTCACGCCCCCCTCAAAAAAATCTCACGGCACACCACCAAACAAAAAAGTTAATTATGTAGTCTATGTCATTTTGTGTCAGTGCATTAAATTGTTCTCCGTGGCATAGATAGAAGAACATACATACATTATTTGTTTTAAGTCAATGTTTTCATTTGGAAAAGTTATATATAACATAGGATAGCCTCGGAATTGCCATATCCGCCACTGACGTCACTGGTTCAACGTCAGCGTCAGAACGACAGCTTCGTGGTGGTCCTTTTAAATGATATGTTACAATTGGTTAATTGTAAATTATTGAAAACTTTACTGCTTATGTGACAAAAGCACCTCATGAAATCAATAAGCAGGATACTGTGCTTAGAAAATATTATGAGATAAGATATCCTTTATTTGTCCCACACTGCGGAAATTTACAGTCTACAGCAGCAAAGTTGTGGGTAGAAAGAAGAAAGAAGAAAAACGTTATGCACATCTACACAGTTTATCAAGACACGTCCCAAGAGCTGTAACAAAAGTTATTGTCCTTATGAAGATCGGAGTCCGTGTCATTTAACAATATATTATGACTTTTATTATTATCATTATATTTTTTGTCATGTAGGACACATGTAAAACTCAAGACCCATGAGCCATAGCGCACTGGAAGCTATTGTACGGAGTCTCGAAAGTGACATGGGGTGGGAAAAAAGAGAGAAACGTGTATCTTGTCCAAATGGGAAACGTACTTTCCAGCGAGCGCTATCTTATTTTCCTGCGTGAACTCGCTTCCTGTGAACGCTAGTCTATTTTCAACCTGCTTCCAGTGCAGTGAGACAATGGCAGCGGAGGACGATTTACATCCTTCCCTCAAAACAGGGACTAGACCAAATAGTGTCATCAACCAATTAAAATATGATAAAAGGAGGATCATAGTTTCTCATCGAACAAGAAAGTTTCTCGTCAGGACGAGAACGTTTCTAGTTAGGATTAGAAACTTTCTTGTCCTAACGAGAAACGTATTTCTTTTTTTTTTTTTTTACTCAATGTCACTTTAGTGGCTCGGTACTCTTGCTATGACGTATTCGTATGTGTTGTGTTTGAGGAGCCCGCCAGATGGCAGTACAAAACAACTGCAGATGCCCGCAAATTGATCCGTGCCTTTCCATCGAAGCGTCCTTCTTGTGGTTAAAGATTCTTTCGCAGCATTTTCATAAAATATCTATTCTCAAAGGGACAAATTGCTGCCTAATGTGCACGCTAACCCCCCCCCCCCACACCCACC